ACTACTAATAACTAACAATTAAAATAATAATAATAATAATAATATAATAATAATAATAATAATAATAATAATAATAACAATAATATCAATAATAAAAACAAAAACTATAATAATAATAATAATGACTAAAGTAATAAAGATGGCAATGGTGATGGTCATGATGATGATGATAAAATAACAAAAACATAACAAAAATAACTCTATGATAATGATAACAAAAATAACAACAGTAATAGTAATAATAATAATAATAATAATAATAATAATAATAATAATAATAATAATAATAATAATAATAATGGCAAACACTATAATGATGACAATAATGATAATAAGAATAATGAGAATTATGATAATCACAATGATAACAATATTAATAAAAACAACAACAACAACAACAATAATAATAATGATGATAATAATAATAATAATAATAATAATAATAATAATAATAATAATAATAATAATAATAATAATAATAAATAATGACAATAATGATTTTAAAAATTATAATCATGAAAATAATGATTTTAAAAATTATAATCATGACAACAATAAAATATAAAATTAAGAGCAATAACAATTACAACAATGATGAAAATAATAATAATATCAATAACAATAACAATTATAGTAATAGCAACAACAATAATCATGTAATAATAATATTATTAATAATAATAATAATAATAATAAAATAATAATAATAATAATAATAATAATAATAATAATAAAACACAACAAAAATAATAAAAATAATATCAATTACATTATTAACTGTTATCATTAACATTAAACATCACTATTGGTTTTATTTGCATAACACACCATAACAATAATGATAATGACCAAGATAATTTTCATGGTGATGAAAATGATGACAATGATAATAATAATAATAATAACACTACTACTACTACTACTACTATTCATAATAACAATTGCAATACTAATGGTAATTATAATTATAACCATAATTATTGTTACAATAATAATAATAATAATAATAAATAATAAATAAATAAAAATAATAATATTAATAGTATTAGTAATAACGATAATAATAATAATAAATAACAATAACAATAATAACAACAACAATAAAAATAATAACAATAATAATAATAACGATAATAATAAAAGCAACAACAACAATAATAATCTAATAATAAAAGGAACATTAATAATAATAATAACAATAATAATAAAAGCAACAACAACAATAATAATAATCTAGCAATAAAAGGAACATTAATAATAATAACAACAATAACAAACAATAATGAAAGTTATCATTCTTTTCATTATCAATATCATTATCATTATCATCACTAGCATTAATATTACTATTATTATCATTACTATTCCATAAGTAATGGAAGATTAGAGTATAACAGATAATAATAAAAAAATAATAACATTCATAGTAACAATAATAAGAGTGGCAATGATAAAAATAATACAAATTAATATTAAATATTAAAATCTTGCATTCACAAAAACAAAAAAGAGAAAAAAAGAAAAAAAGAAAATCAAGCACATCTCTTCTGGAACATAGATGGAGAAAAAAGAAAAATGAAAGAAAATTTAAAAAATGAAGAAAAAGCAAGGGGAAAGAGAAGAGAGAGAAGAGAAAAGGTCTGTGTGCTGGTATTTCAAACCACTAAAATATTTAGAATTGGGAGTTAATTCTTATCAAAAAATTTGAGTTTGCTGTTGCACAACTAACCACCCCCCACAAATGAATATTTAAGTCAAGAAAATTATGTGTCTCTTCCACTAACCTGCATTAAGGTTAAGCCTTTAATTTGACATTGCAAAACAAACACTAAACAAACACAATGCACAAAAAAAGGAGGGGGGGGATATTGGAGATGGATGGTTTGTCAGGATAATACACAATGCGACCCAGTAGGTGTTACGTCAATTGCAAGCACTTAGTCAACAATTAGTCAATTTATGGGCCTGAGTGATTTCACCTAATTTCCCTATTCCCTGTATTTTGGGGGGTTTATATTTCTAGATACCATGAAATTCATTACTGATATTATCAATAATATCATTATAATCATCATTATTGGCATTGTGATTATTGTAATGTCATTAACAATAGTATTAGTAATAAAGATAACAAAAAGTTTTCAAAAATAAAAAATAATAATAATAAATAAAAAGATAAATAAAATAAATAAATAAATAAACAGGTGAGATTAGATAGGATTAGTAATGGAGTTATTGGCATTTACAGGGCTATCAATGTGTACACAAACTAATAAACTAAAATGATAGAGGACATGGTATGTACTTACACTAATGATCCACAATATCTAACACCCTAAGGCCAAGTATAAACATTTGCATACCCTTTCAGAAGGGATGGATTGATAACACTAACTACCAATTTCACCAAACCACATTGCATGACCTCTCTATACAAACTTTTGCATAGGTGACTTTTTACAGAATAAGGAGAGATCTTTGTGAGTGTGTGTATATGTATTAAATTGACTTGTATTCTACTGAGAATAAGATTGAAAGTTTATTGGATTTGGGGAGGAGATAAAGAGAGACTCATGGGCAAATGAGCAAGCCATGCTAAAGTTTATATAGTTCATAGAGTTCCTATAATGTCCTTTGATGGTACTTGAAATTAGTATTAACAACTAACTCGGCCTCCAGGATTGTAGATTGTGGATTGTGAGTATACATGCCATCCCATCATCAATAGGTTTAGGGGTGACATGTCCGATTCAGATACATATAAAATTATAACATAGAGACACTCAGCATAAACCTGCATCATTGGAACATCTCAGTACTTACACTTTCAATACTCTAGTTAGCTTAGCTAATGAAATGTACATGCAACTGTAAACCTAAAATTTATTCATATCAACATAAAGTTTGAGTGTGAAAGTTCTTGTGAAATATTAGTATATGCCTTTGTGTGTGTTTGAGTGCAAATATCAGTGGATCATTTCAATTATGATGTTATCAATATGCAAATAATCAATATAAGAAATGGAAAAGGTGGCTGAACAGTGTATGTTTTAAATTACATTTACATATAATCAAAAGATTATCCCAAAGATATGTTTGGATATCCCAAAGATATGGATGTTTGGCATCCTAGGAAATGAATGTCACATTCTAAAAGACCCATTTTAAAGCATAAATATATGCAATTAACCTTTAATAGCTATAATGGACACTTTTTGTGCTAGGTCAGCTATGTTATCAGAATAAATGGTAAGAAGGAAGGAGAGGGACATGGTCAGGGAAAGGGAGAAAGGGAAGGAGGGAGAGAGAGTAAGAGAGAGGAAGAGAGAAGAGAGAAGAGAGAGAAGAAAGAGAGGGAGAGAGAGTAAGAGAGAGGGAGAGAGAGAGAGAGAGAGAGAGAGAAGTAGGGGAGAGAGAGAGAGAGAGAGAGAGAGAGAGAGAGAGAGAGAGAGAGAAGAGAGAGAGAGAGAGAGGAGAGAGAGAGAGAGAGAGAGAGAGAGAGAGAGAGAGAGAGAGAGAGAGAGAGAGAGAGAGAGAGAGAGAGAGAGAGAGAGAAGAGAGAGAGAGAGAGAGAGAGAGAGAGAGAGAGAGAGAGAGAGAAGAGAGAGAGAGAGAGAGAGAGAGAGAGAGAAGAGAGAGAGGAGAGAGAGAGAGAGAGAGAGAGAGAGAGAGAGAGAGAGAGGAGGGAGAGAGGAGAGGAGAGAGGGAGAGAGGGAGAGAGGGAGAGAGGAGGGAGAGAGGAGAGAGAGGAGGGAGAGAGGAGGGAGAGAGGAGGGAGAGAGGAGAGAGAGGAGGGAGAGAGGAGAGAGAGAAAGAGAGAAAGAGAGGAAAGAGAGAAGAGAGAAAGAGAGAAGAGAGAGAAAGAGAGAAAGAGAGAGAAGGAGGGAGAGAAAGAGAGAGAGAGAAGAGAGAGACGGAGAGAGAGAGAGAAAGAGAGGAGGAGGGAGGGGGGAGGGTGAGGGGAGGAGGAGGAGAAGAGAAAAGAATGAGAAAAATAAAACAACTAAAGAAGAAAGATCAGACAGGGGGGTAAACTCACCTGCTTCCCTGGCCTGCACCACGTGAGGACACAGCCATCCTGACAGGACGTGACGAGGCAGTCTTCTCTGAACACTAGACCAGATAGCCGTTCATGTCCAATCTTTTTACAAATCATTGGCTCTAAAACTGGGCACTCATCTAATCGTGGACATATTGATGTACCCATAGTCTTGCATGAATCTTCCGGTGGTACAGTTGAACCTCCTACTTGATTCTTGTTCACCGAACTTTTGCAATTTTGTGTCGAGTTTTTTGATGCTAAGCTGAGGCTTCTTTTATGGTCCTTTTCCCCTTTTTCTTTATCCTTCTTTTCACCAAAGTTGAGGTTGGCCAACTTGGCTGTGAGTGAATTGGTGGAGTGCGAGTGGTGAGACGCATCACTTCCAACAGAAGATTCTTTTACATTGTTGCACTTTGCATTAGCCACTGACTGTGAAGTCTGATGACCACTCACAGTCGATCCAACTCCACCACTACTGCTGACAACCGTACTCGATCTTGGCCGTAGGTATGGCTGCCTTAACACATCATCCTTAAGGTCCCATAAACACAATAAAGTGTCTTGACCAACTGATCCTAGCCGGTAACTCGTTACAGACAATCCTAAGCCTTCAGAGGCCAGAGAGTTCCTGTTAGAGTTTGGTTTAGAATTAGGAGCACTATTAACAGATTTTCCACTTCTTACATCATTACCTACATTATTATGCTTCGTTGTGTCTTCGTTACAAACATCAAAACCATCCATATCACTATATAATGTTGTATAAGAATCAAAGGCCACTACAGTGACCCAACTCTTATGACCCTGTCCTCTGGCCACAACTCTTTTCTCTTGAAATGACCACACAGTGATGAGGTCATCTTCACCTCCTGTAACAACGTATCTCCCATCAGGCGACCAACAAACACACAATAAACCCCCATAATAACTTCTAGCACTCCCCACTAAGTCCATTGTATCAAAGTTAAACACCCTCAAAGAACCATCCTGGGACACCACAGCCAAGTATTTTGAGCACGGTGAAAAGGCAAACTCGTTGATGCTTCCTTCACCAATGACCCATCTATATAATGGGTTTCTCGTGCTTTTTGTTTTACATGTGTAGACTGAGTATCCCTCGCCTTGTTTAAAGAGCTGATAGTGAGGTCTATCAACACCACACAACAGTTCTTCATTATAAGTGTACATATGTCCGCTACTATGAGCAGCTAAAAACTGGTTAGGAGAGCCTGGTACCCACTTTACACAAGTTACTTTTGTCTTGTCAATCAGTCTCTGAAATGGTAAGAATGAATATTAAAATTGGTTTTAATTCTAAATTATATCACAGAAATATTTACGGGGAACCATAATAAAATGTCTGTAAAAACATGAAAGGATTTCTATATAAGTGGAAGAGTCAAAATAATAAAAGGAAAAACAAAGAGAAGGATATCAGAAGGAACTTTTACTAACCTCTCCAGCATTGTAAGCTTTATTAACCTCCTTAGTGATAGGGTCTATGAGTTGAACCTGGCCACCCAACAACCCTACCAGCAATGACACTCCTTCACCACTGGCTGTAGTGCTGTTGAAATCATGGCATGTTGGAACATCTTCTTTGTTGTATGCTCTCTTGTCTATAGGTTTTGTTAGGTCTACTGCCTGAAATAAAAACATTTATTTAGTTTTTTATTCAAAACAGCTGTCAGTATTTCCGTAAAAGCAAGTTGAGATTAGATTATCACTTTCATTCCAATTAACTTTATCCCAAGAACATATCTTTTCCTACATCTCAGTCACGACATTCTAAGCAAATACAAAACAGCTTTTCCCACATCGCACTCATCATTGTGAGTATACCTTACAAAAATATATCAACATACACATTTTCACTAATGATTCATGAAAGCCTGTAAAATAAAAATCTGCTAGGCAAAATGTTCTCTCTGACTTGAACACAGACATGATTTATGTGATGAACAAATAAGAAACAACATCATGAGGTCACCATCAAAACATCCATTAATCACTACACATAATGAGAGAAATGTAATTATTCCTGCCATTCTACAAAGACACTTTTCAACATGAAATTGTCAGTCAGACACATTTCAATCAAAGAATTTTCAATAATAGAGCAAATCATATTAATAATATATAATATAATGAGACACCTCTGCATGCCCATAAAAGCATAACAATAATGAAAAAAAAAAAAAAAATGTATTCAAATGTTACAATATACAATAGCAATTAATAATAGTAATAGTAATAACAAAAAAAGTATCAACAATTTCAACAGTAGTACTAATTATAATAGAAATATTAATAATAACAATAATAATAATAACAACAATAATGATAACAATAACAATAACAACAATAACAAATCAATAACAACAGAGATAACAATAATAATAATAATAATAATAATAATAATGATAATAATAATAATGATAATAACAATCATAATAATAACAACAATAATATTGATAATAATAATAAAATGATTGAATAGTTAGAGAAAATAAAAAAAACATATATAAACATATAAAATTTCACTATGATGATGATATTGAGGGTGGTAATCATAATAACAATAATTATAATCAATTAATAAAAATAACAACAACAATAATAATTATTATAATAATAATAATAACAATAATAATAAATAACAACTAAAGTAGCAAAAAATGATGAAGATAACAACAATAACAATAATAATAATAATAATATTACTGAACACAATAATAACAATAACATAATAATAATATCACTAACTATTATAATAAGAACAATAAAGATAAAAATAATAATATTAACGATAACAACAATAATGATAATTATAATAATAACATTCATAATCCAAAATACAAATACAATTTAACCACATGCCTACGGCGATAGCATGTGCATACATGCCATGCCCACTGTGTGTTTAATTTAGTAATTGTTTTTACATAGAGATAACTCCACACATACTAGGTCACAAATGCGCCAGTTACAAGAAGTACCTATCTCCCTGTTTACCCTCTTCCTTGATTTTCAATAATATTTTCTAGTATTTAATACTGCTGTTAGTAATATCAATAACAACAGAGAAATTATGTTTATAACAAAAGTATCTTTATCAATACTGATAGCAGTAGTAAATTATTTTTTTTTACCACTATTTCAAGGAAAGGCGAAGTCCTAAGATCTACTAACTGACTCCTTTGTGGATAAGCACAGAAACATTGACAAAACAATATATTTTCCCGGCAGCATTGGGTAATAATAATAATAATAATAATAATAATAATAATAATAATAATAATAATAATAATAATAATAGTAGCAATAATAACAACAATACGACTAATAACATTTTATGATGATAACAATAACAACATCAATGATAATTATAATTAATTATGATAACAAAAATAAATATAATAATATAAAAAATAACAATAACAATTACATAAAACCAATAATAATAATAATGACAATAATAATAATAATAACAAAAATTATAACAATTCTTATTTTGATCACAAATACTGTTGATAAAACTACTACTACTATTACTGGTAAAACTATCAATAATAAACAGAATAATAACAACAATAATAAAGATAATAACAATGGCAATAATAGCATCAATAATAATAATAATAATAATTCATAATAACAATATCAAGAACACTAACAATATGACTATAAAAGGTAACACTACCACTACTAATAATAATAACATTGATAACAAAAAATAAATTGAAAAATTTGTGGCAATAATAAAAATATCAATAAAAAAAAAATAATAACAATGATAACAATAATAAAAAATATAATATTAATAATAAGATATATAATAATAATAATAATGATAATAATAATAATAATAATAATAATAATAATAATAATAACAATAATAATAAGATATATATTATATATATATATTAATAATAATAATAATAATAATAATAATAATAATAATAATAATAATAATAATAATAATAATAATAATAATAGCATTAACAACAAAAAATATAATAACAATGACAATAATAACATCATTTATAATAATGATAATTCATACTATCAATATCAATACTACTTATAAAAGAAAGAAAGAAAAAAATAATAACAATTACAATATGAATTTAAAAAGTAACAGTACTGCTACTACTATAACTAAAATCATTCATAATAAAAACTATAATGGAAAATCAATGGCAATAATAATAAAACCAGCAACAACAACACCAACAACAATAGCAATAATGATAATAATAACAAAAATAACTGTAATAATATCAATATCAATATTGACATATTGATAATATATATAATACCACAATAAATTAACAATACGACAGCAGTAATATATAACAACAATAACAATAACAATGACATAATGAAATGACAAAAACATTAACAATAGCAAAAATAATATAATAAATGATGATGACCATCATAAAAAATTGTATATGATAATAAAATTAATAACAATAATTTAAAAAATAATAATAATAATAACAATAATAATAATCACAATATCTAAAATAAGCAATAGTTATATCAGTAATAATAATAATAATAATAATAATAATAATAATAATAATAATAATAATAATAATAATAATAATAATAATAATAATAATATCAAATAACACCATTACTAGTAATAATGACAACAAATTAATAACAACATTAAAAACAATAAAACACCATCAGCAATAATAATACCACTAATGATGATGATGATGATGATGATGATGATATAATAATAATAATAATAATATGATAAAATAACAAAAAAAATAATAATGATTATAATAATAATAATAACAATAACAATAACAATAATAGGAATAACAATAAAATTTATTAATAGTACTAATATTTTTATTATCATCATTATTATTATCATTATCATTATTACAATAAAACATGATGAGAATGGTAGTTCCTAAAAAGAATCATAATGAAATAATAATAATAATAATAATAATAATAATAATAATAATAATAATAATAATAATAATAATAATAATAATAATAATAATAATAATAATAATAATAATAATAATAATAATAATAATAATAATAAAATAATAATAATGATGATGATAATGATAATATATATTTTATATATTTTCAATAATACATAATACTTAAAAAAAACACTAATAATTATAATAACATAATAACAGTTAAAATAATAAAAATAATATCAACAAATATAATTACAACAAAAACAATAACAACAATAATAATAATCTAAACAATGCAACACTAATACTAATAACAATAACAACCAAAATAATTATCATAATAGTAAAAATAATAGAAAAAAAATCTAAAACAAGTACTACTATTACAAATGAAATCAATAACATTAATAATAAGATAAAAATAATTATTACTATCATAATAATAATTATATAACAACAATAATTGGTGTTTAAAAGACATATGACAGTATTAATAATATAATGATGATGATGATGATGATGATGATGATGATGATGATGATGATGATGATGATGATGATGATGATGATGATGATGATGATGATGATGATGATGATGATGATGATGATGATGATGATGATGATGATGATGATGATGATGATGATGATGATGATGATGATGATGATGATGATGATGATGATGATGATGATGATAATAATAATAATAATAATAATAATAATAATAATAATAATAATAATAATAACAATAACAATAATCATAATAATAACAATAACAACAATATGTGGATATATATAATAATAATAACATTAATAACAACAAATAATAATGGTATATAAAATACTGCTATTACTAAAGAGTATTACTACTACTACTACTACTACTACTACTACTACTACTAATAATAATAATAATAATAATAATAATAATAATAACAATAATAATAATGAGATTATTGTGATAATAACTATAATTAGCATAACATAAATAATATTGATGATGATAATGATAATAATGATAACAATATAATAATAATAATAAAAAAAAATAATAATAATAATAACAAGAATAATAATCAAATACACACAATAATAATAATAATATTAATAACAAAATTCAAATGCATATAATCATAATCATTACTCACATTATTACTATAACACCAATAACAACAACAATAATTATATTGAAACAATAATAACAAACAGACAAATAAATAAAATATTCATAATAATAATCATCAACATAAAATAATAATAATAATAATAATAATAATAAATAAATAATAATAATAATAATAATAATAATAATAATAATAATAATAATAATAATAATAATAATAATAATAACAACAACAAAAATAATGATAATAATATCAACACTAATGCTAATAATATTAACACTAATAATAATAATACCACTAATTATAATACTAATAACATTAAAAAAAATAATAATACTAATAACAATAACAATAATAACATCAACAACAAAACATCAATGAGATTAATCATATAAATACAAAAAATTCTCATAGCAATAATAATGATAATATTCCTTATCATTAGAAATATTATGACTATCAGACTCCCATGATGATGATGATGATATTAATATTAATGATATTTATATTAATGATATCAATAGTAATACTAATAGTAGTAGTAGTATTAATATTAATAA